CAAACCCTGTAAGTTAGGATTTCAGAGGTTTAGTTTATTTGCTCTGGAATCGGAACAGCTACAAAGGTCTAAGAGGTGATGTGCCATGTTGCAGGCGTGCTTAAATGTTATTTCATGTGATGTCAGTTACTGAGCTTAAGAGACTGGAATTTTCTGTCATAATTAATCCCTTATGCCATAGCCTTGGAGTTTCATTAGAGAAGGTCTCTAATTGCAGTGAGCTCGGAGGCTGAATGGTGCGATGCCCTACACGTAAGGTGAGAGGGGGAAACAAACTTACTAGGTTGCTGCGTCCAAAGGGTAAACAGTCAATATTTAGCAAAAGAAACTGCCTGCCTCCCTTGCTTTCTCTCCACATGGATTTGATTAGGTGGTTTCATTAACAAAGAAAACAGCATTTCCTTCAGTTGGACTGTTCCTCACAACAGCAGTAATAAGGATGCAAGGAAACTGCCTGACCCTGAAGCACGCACACTGGTTTTTATGGCAGCAGTGTAATGTAAAGCAGAAAAAGAGGGAGTGGAAAGCTGACAGACCTGAGTGGATCCAGCATTGGCAAGAACGAGTCTGCTGAATTTCAAACTAGCCTTTCTTTGTGTGCATCTTTGAACATGGTAAAAGAGCAGTGGGAGGGGGCTTCTCTCTAAAGCAAGCTGTAATATATTTGAGGGACAGGAAGAGATCATCTCTAAAATACCAAAAAGATGCACATGTTATAGTACATGGGGGAGGGATAACACTAATCTCAATGCTAGTCCTAGGGAGAGCTGTGAAGCACGAGGCTGAAATCCAAGTTGCGTCAGCTGTTCCTCATCAGAGGATATCAGACCCTGGCATTTGTCTTTATAGAGCAGCGGCAATTAGAAATGGAGATAACAGAAAAAGCAATTGCTTAAATGCCTCACTTTGTCCAATTTATTCATTTTCTACAGGTTTTATATGTTTTATTTATTGATTTTAAGCTGAGCCCAGGAGGATGAAGAAGTAAGGCTGCATTGTTTCCAGCTGTGAGTAAAAGTGGTCTTGTTTAGTCTATTGGGAGCTGGCTGATCCTGGTGGGAGGCTGATGCTCACACTCCCCTTGGTCATCCTCCTTCTCATTTTCTCCTTTTTCTTCTCTTGTTGCTTGTCAATGCAGAATACTGAAAACATCTTGAATTCCTTGTAGTTCAGTTGCTGATTTTGGAGGGGAGATAGATATCTGTCTTAGCAAGACAGTCTTGGCTAACATAAACAGTTATTTCAGAGAAAAATCTAGAGTCCAGGCTCTTGTCCTATTCTCCAACTTGTAGTTTCCCAACTGACTCAGGAGAAATTGGTTTCAACTTACCGCCTCCGGCTCATCCCAAATGAACATGTTACAGGCTAATAGGGCACCTCCCTGGCAAATTAACGTTTCTCTACCATTCTGTAATGACTTGCAGATGTGAGAAGGATTCATAACATCTGGTGTTACAGTGTGGCTGGGCGTAAGTGGGAGATCTGAATGCCTTTAGAGCTGTATCAAACAACCATCCCGCCCCTACTTAAAGTGTCCTTTTAATCAGGCAGCCTTGAGATGAAAGGACAGAATTGATGCAACTCAGGGCCAAAACAGCTTATTCCAGGAGACTATTCTCAAATTTGTTCTTTGCATTGGAGAAGTATCCTGAGGCCTTGATCAAGACTGATGCTTTGATATCTAGATATGCTGTTCAACCACACAGGAAACATATTGCAAGCCCTACAGGGCTTACAGGAAAGATGCAACAAATAATTGAAGAGGATGCTAGCGGTAGAACACAGACAAGGAGAATTATCAATAAAAACAGTAAACTCCATGCCCAGTAACCCAGCACCAGCAAGGAGGAGAAAGAGAAGGAATCTCCCTTGGTTACTAGTGGTTGTCTTGCTAAACGTGCCCTTAGAGCATGCTGAGATGCTCTCAGCATCCTAAGTCCTAAGAACAGTGTGAAGCTGCGTCAGTGATAAGAAATACCCATGGTGTATTAATGACTGACTCCCTGCTGGTGTAGCTGCAGGTGGTTATTAATCAGGGTCTGCTTCAGAGCAGGGAGGGATTTGAAATAGTGCAGGTGAGGAGACAAACGTGAAGGTGAGGCTGAGGCAGGATGGTGGCCAAGAGCAGGTTGAGCAGAGAGGCATGTTTGCATCTCTGTAGTGAGGACTGTGCTAAGCACAAAGTCTGAGAAGAAGGGAGCAGAGTCCTCGCTGGGGAGGTGGTATCACTGGATTTGATGTTCCCTTTCTGATTGCAGGGAGCCTGCACCTGCCACAGGGCGGGGGATGAGTGCTGCAGTGAGATCCCCAAAGCCTCTTGTTTGGATCTGAAGCTGGTTTGAAGTCAAAAGGAAGGATCTATTGGAGAAGTGAAGGAGAGCTCCCCTCAGGGCTTTACCTGGGCAGCAGCATCTACATAACTGCTTTTGGCATGAGCAGAAGCCAAGGTCTACCGCTCATAACGTGCCTAAAAGGAGCTGGTAGTAAGTCAGTGTACCCTGCTGGAGCACAAGCGTGGTGAGCAGGTGCGAGACCTGGCTTCAGAGAGCTTGGAAAACAACGAGGAGCCGCAAGTACACTCAGAAAAAAAATGGACTGAGTAAAAGCACTTCTGCCAGTCCTGCCCATCTCTTCTCACTGGGGTCTCTTCAGGTAGAGGAATATACCCATTTTTTGTGCCCCCTCCCCGTTCTCTCATCCTGTTGCTAGCTTACTATTAAGACATTTTCAATCAAGACTTCTGGGAATTATATCCATAAAGAAGATAGGCTTGTAAATGTATATTTAAGTACTGGGAAATCTAGGATCTAAGGAGAAGAAAATGCCTGTTTGACCTCTAATTTCCTCATTGCTTGTCTTATGCTTGGATACTAAGACATTAGGGGCTTCACCAGTAAATTGGAGGGAGAGGTTCACCAGAGAGTAGCACAGCTGCTCAAGCACTTTCAGGTCCAGATGACCAGACTTGTTTTTCTGTACTTGCAAATAGGCAGGAATAGCCTTGTATGCAACAGTTAGTTGAGACAGGGGAACACCTTTGAAGAGCCTTCTGTCTCGGTAATCATACATACTCTAGTACAGTGATGTTGCTGGATGTTTGAACAAGGACTCTGTCATTTCCATAGTGTAAGTCATCAAAGGCCTGCTCCTTCTGAAGCCCTTCTGACTTCAGTGAGGACATGCTGGGGGTTACAGCAGGCAGCTTGGCTGCCTGCAAGTTCTGAGGCAGCCAGGCAAGCTTAGCACAGGGGACCAAACTCTACAATTGCTCAGGTAAGTTGCTTCATGTCTGTGCATGTTTTCCTTGCCACACTTTCTCCCATCTAGGCTATTAATTCTTCTCACCAGATGTAGCAGACTGTTCATCTCCCTTGGGGCTTCTAAGGGTTAATTTTTAATAGAAGAGCTTTTTCACGGCCTCTGTTTTGGCTGTTACTTCTCTAATTTTACCTCATCTCCAGATATATCAAAGTCCTTAAATATCTTCTGAAGTTCTTCTTTCTTGATGTTAAAGAGAAACCCCGTGGCTTGAAATTCCCTAGGACTGATTGTGTGACCATCGTCTCTGTCCAGCAGTCTGAAGGCAGTCCCCGAGTGTCGATAGATGAACTGCTTCTCAAGATGGTTCTGTTTCAGGGCAGAAAGGTTTAAGAACAGATTATAAGCAGCGATTTCCTCCTCTGCAAGAATATAGAGAATAGCAGACGGTGCTAGTGTCCAGAGAATAAAGGTGACCTCTTGCTGGTTGAGCCAGCAGGAAATACCAAGATCCTGGCGCTTCCTGCCACACAGGCTCAGTTGTGTGGAAGCACGTGGCTGTTGCTCGCCGGATTTGGGCTCCGTAGAGCTGCGAGCTGCAGGGCTGTACTGGGAAGAGCTACTGAAAGCGAGCCAGACTCATATCTGGCCCATGCACAGGACACGTTGTGAGGTCCTTTTCCTCCCCGCCTCGTATCGAACGGCTTAAAGCTAACCACAGCACCTAGCTGTGTATCTCCTTTTTCCTTGCCCTGAGGCCCCTGGGCAGCTGCCCTGTGCGCTTCCACCCCCCCCACCCAGGGTGGCTGCCTAACCGGCCTGGTGGAGCCAACGCAGCAGCACGGCACTCCTGAGCAGCCACAGCGTCTGCGTGCCACTTGCTCACCAGGGATGCCATGTCCCACCCGACTGCAGAACGGGGACCCTAATGTGTTTGATGGGAGGGAGGGAAGTCAGTCCCTAGCTTTATCATCCGTCTCCCTCAAAACAGGCTGCCGTCCTCACTGCTTTTTCCTGAAAAGATACTAGTCTCTCCACAGGCTGAGCTGTGGGCGATGCCAAGGAGAAGGAGGGGATCAGCACACCCAGCACCGACAAGCTGGCAAACACCGACCAGTGAAAACAGATGTGACGCTGCTCCCTTCCCTGCAGGTAGCCACAGCCAAGAAGCTCTTTTTTGGAGAACTGCCCTCCAAATGGGCGGTCGGAGCTGGGAGGAGCGTTTAGATGGTTCCGAGCTGGTGAAAGATTTGGGGGCAGATTAATCTCTGGGAAACAGGGTCGGTACTAAGAGGGACACTGCTCGTTTCACCACTTTCCTTCTGCATGCGGCAGTATTGTGGCTACATCCAGACCTTGGGGCCCTTTCCATCCCTTGTGCAGCATGAATAAGGATTAGTCCCCAATGAGCTGCTTCCCTTTATGGGGGTGTCGATGGTCCGCGTCGCCTGCAGTGGCCCCCAGGGGCTACGCACCTCATGAGCCAGCAGAAGACACACCAGCATGTAGAACTCATCAAAGCCGATCTCCCCCGTCGCGTTTCGATCCAGTAAGTCAAACAGCAGCATGATATGCTTCTTCCTCAGGTCAGTCACATAATGGAGAAAGCAATAAAACTGCAGATCTGGAAAACAGTGAGCTGTTAGGCCTCGTCTGGACAAAGCCGTTAGCAATAATTAACAGGATTTACCTTATTTTAAATGCCCACTGCTCCCAGACAGGTTGCACAAGCAATTAAAACAGAGTAGCGGGCAAGAAACTGTTCAGAACTAATAGTATTAATAAGTTGCCCTCATTTATGAAAGGGGCATATGTGGCTTCTACACAGAAGGCAACGTAAAGTGCTCATAATTTTCTGTCAGACTTCCCGCTCTTCTACCCCCCAACCCTGAAAGAAAAAAAGCACTTTTTCAACAAACTGGGAACATTGGCAAAAGAATCCATTTTTAATTTTGGAAGCGTCACTTTTAACTCATGCTCTGTTAGCAATTATTTTTAACCCTTTTTAATCTTTTCCAGTGATGGTACCAGGAAGGGAAGGGTGTACGGAGAAAGAGCCAAACTTCTGGATCCACCTCGGCATTTCCCTCAAACTTCCCCAAGCTGTTCCATGCAAAAACGGAGGAAAATCAGCCCCAGCTGAAAAATCTGCAGCATTGATCTGATTCTGCTACCCCAAAATCTCTATCAGTGGGGTAAATCCCTAGGAAGAAGTGTTATTTAAGCTGGAGCGCGATGCTGATTTGCAAATAAATGGGAATAGCTTTGACAACTGCAGCCAGGAAGTTACGAAGCTCTGAACCAGCAAACTAGGGTTCTTTACCAGCCTAACGTTGAGAATAACATTGGCAATAAATCTGCTTTTTAATGTGAAGCACAATCAGTTTGTGGAAGGGATTACAAGATGAGGTTGCTGCAGGACTGAGGAATTAGCTGCAGTGAGCCAGAAATCCCCTCTTGTCCTGTGCTCCTGGCATCATGCTTGTATAGCTGTAAAGATCTCCTTTATCTCTGGCCTGTGTTTTTTTTGTATGTCCATTATTGCTCATTGGTGCCATGACTTGGTTATCATGTTTGTACAGTATTAGCAAGCCTGCCTTGGTGGCTTTACATGTTGCTGGAATGCAGCAGATGGTAGCACCACAAAGCCAAGCAGGTTTCTTGGGCTCTCA